ATTCCGCTCAACAGCCGGGATGTGATTTCCATAGAAAATCTTTTTTGCAATTATCAATATAAATTGATACAAAGCACGCGAGAATCATTTCGTGCATTAAAAACGGAAATGTGTCCGTGCCATCCTTTTCCATTCCCATGCCTTAAACACACTTTTAGTTCGCACTGGGCCAGTAAATTTTCATATTGCCATTTATTGAGTTTGCAGATTTTTGTAAAAATTACATTTTTCTATGCTATTTAATATAATTTCTCAACCAAACTCTGACTTGTTTTTACTTATAGTTCTAACTATACTGTTTTAATAATTTGGGGGCACGCCGCGTGTGCTGACTTCCCGCATAATGACGTTCATTACATTTTCCAACTTATTTCACGAGGTAGTGCACTTACTGTAAATCTCAAGTAATACAGCAGTTGTGCCGCGCAGAAAGTGTCCTTACTTTCCGACGAGTATAGACTGTGCAGCTGCGTACCGCCTCCTTATAACTTTGCTGTGAGAATTTGAAAATCGATGAGGTGCCAGAAACCAGCTAAAACTACCAATAATTGGATAGCTTACTGGGAGAAAAAGCACGAGGTTCCTACGTGCGCAGGGACACACACAGTTCATCATCATTCAATCGCTTTCCACTCACTCAATCTTGCTATTATTTACGTCACTACTGACACATAATCCATGCCCCCCCTTTCACCCCCCCTCCCTCATCCCCGCGCCCAAAAACAAACAGAAAAGGTGAAGGCAATGCCCTACAACGAAAGCTGTGTCATGGTGTCCTGGTCGCATCCGAGCCGGCCCCAGGGAGTGACTCGTTTCTACTGTATTTATGCCATTCGTCAGACCGGCGGAAGTCATGCACGACTGCGGGAGAAGTGCATTCCACCGGACTTCTCAAAACCCTACAATTACTACCTATACTGCAGTAAGTGCCTCTCTTTCTTTCCAGACCTTCAATTTGTGCTTAATTACGCCTGTTACGCTTGTTGTTGTTGGACCCGAAGGTATCCCTTGCAGCGTGCCATGTGCCTTCAGCTAGTCCTACCAGAGTGCGCGCGGGCCTTAGCCTCCTGGTCGTCCGTGAATACCAATCGTGTCCAATTTTACATGCAAGGTCTACACGGAGCGGCTTGGTGGGCAGATGGCTTCCTGTAGTTTCTAGTTTCGGGTGCGGACGTATCTATCTGCGCTATATGATTTAGCTGCCAGGAATTTGATTCACCAATATGTCCACCAGCCGCCTTTCCCACGCAGTATTTGGTGTATTTATTCCAGTTTGAGTGTCACCTTCGTTATTTACTCGGAAATCATCGCGCGAACTTGAAGTAATAATTCTGAAGTCAAAAAGGGTG